AAAAGGTTTTCTAATTAAATAATGTCATAATTTTATTGCATTTTTTATTTTACGATTCGGAGTAGATTTTCGGTAAAGGAATAACTGATGATTTAAATACTCCAAAGAGTCCTGCTTTTAGCTAATATAAAAATATTCGAATCAAAATTTAATTTCTCGAAATTTCATAAAATTAACTAAGCGTGGGTAACTGCTATAAAAAATATTTTAAAAAGATTTTCTCAAAAATTTTTTATAAAAAATATTTTAAAAAGATTTTCTAAAAAATTATTCCAAAAATAATTTCCCTCATTTGAGAATTTGTTCTGAGAATCTCATTAAATCCTACAATTATTTGTTTTTTGCAAGAATTACCAAAACAATATGATTTGTTTACCGCAAAAAGACGCTAAATTTCACAAAGTAATGTTTAGCTGACTAAAAAAAATTTCCAACGTGCTACAGAGGATTAAAAAAAAATTAAAATAATCAAAAAATATTGTGGTCTTTCCTCTTAATAAAAATATAAACAATTTGACGATAAAACTTTGTTTTACTTTTACCAAGTTTTCGGCCTTTTTCATACTACTAGGCTTTTTTTTTAAAGAAATTGTGGAGGTACCTAATATTAGATAATAGCTGGTCATTCCTTTATATGTTTGCAGTGAATCTAACTTCTTTTTTATACTTAGTCAATCAGAAGATTATACCGTGTAACCCGGATATAAGAGACCCGGATATAAGAGAAACCCGGATATAAGAGAAATTTTCTCTGGTCCCAAATTAGAGCCTGTGTTAATGTATATAAAATAGATCAAACCCGTATATAAGAGAAACCCGGATATAAGAGACTTTTTCTCCGGTCCCGACAACTCTCTCACATCCGGGTTACACTGTACCACGTTTGGAGGCACAAATAAGGTTCGATGTTGTCGAAAACTGGTACTTGTACGTTGCGTGTCCGTTCAGATCCTGTTCTTGAATCTCTTACTAATATTTCCCTTTTAAACCACCACTCCGACTCCCTCTTCTGCAATCTACTCATGTAAGCTAGCGAGATCAGTTGCCTTCCCCTCTGCCTTTTGCGTTCGATATGTCCTATAAGTCTCACATTTCCCACCTTCCTCATTATATGTCCAAGAAATTTCTCTTTCTGTTTTTTAGTATAAGTGCCATTTTTGATTTTCCTGAAGAATTCCTCGATGCTTTGAGCTTCCTCTACAGAATTCTCATCGTGAAAGGACGTATATTTTTTTTCACTGCTTTTCCAAAAAGCGTTCGGATTTCCACGTTACATTTTCCATCCAAAGTTCAAACACTTCGTAGATATTTAAACTTTTCTGCTTGTTTGATTTTGGCTTTTTTAATTTGTAGCTCGTCTCATATGCTTTTTTTTTCTCCTGCTGACAATCATGAATTCTGTTTCCTTACAAGTAATCCTTGTGTCCTTTATTCTCGCTTTTTGTTTACTAAATTGTATAGGAAGTCTTATACTTTTACTTTCCGAGTCAACCATCGCTTTTCTTATATTGTTAAGATTACGACCCCCGATAACAAATCGTGGTAAGCTTTCCGGCTCCTTCGCGGTAGTTCTTGAATAAATCCAATGAAAAGACATCCTTGTCTTACGCTCATTTCTATATTTGTAATTTTTTATTATTCTGTTTTAAATCATTTCACCCAAAGTATGATAATACCGCAGTTAATATAACGCAAGGGTTTCCTGAGTGACAGAGACTACGAGAAAAAAAAAAAAACAATATTAAGGAGAGAGAAGAATAAAAGAAGACAAAAGATTTCACATTGCACACTAGAACACTAACCATGGGTATTAGCACCCAGCGCAAATTTACCTATTTTTAATTACAATTTTCAGTACTTGATTTTCTTACCTAAATAATATGTTTTTCAGTTCCTATTAATATTAACTCAAAGTAAAAAGTTTGAAGTGCCTGCATATAAGATATTTCAAATAAATATTTATATTTAATTATTATTTTTTTTGTGTTATTTTCAAAATCGGGTATGATATTTCTGAAGATCAAAGTTGAATGGGAAGCAAGAATCCAGAAGTGAGTTCCACAAACGCGAAGTGCGATAGAAGAAAATTTCTGCGTAGAACCTACGATTGCGTCTAGACATTTCCACTATAAAATGTTGAGATTTTGCCGCCAATCTAGTACTGCGATTACATTCATAAAGTCTAGTTACAACAGAGCGAATTTCATCAGAACAATTACCATAAAAGTGTTTGTAGAAAAGACACAGAGAAGATACATTACGGCGGTGGGAAAAAGACTGAAGCTGAGATGCCCGGTCAAGATCAATAATATTGCTGATTTTTCTTTGAATTTTATCAGGAACCTCTAACAATGTAGCAGGGACAACAGAGCAGAGGAGGTAATAATATTACAAACAATCACGAATGGTGGACTGATAAATATTTACGTTACCTTCTGGCGAGAATAAAACTGTCTTGCACGATACAGTGAACAAACATTCCTAGCAACATACTTAGCAATTGAATCAATATAATTTTTCCACTTTATTTCAGCGGAAAACTTTAGTCCAAGAAGATGCAATGGCTCACTCTGTTGGAGGTTAGCATGAGCCATGCTGAGGGAAGGTGTATGATAAAATGTGTTCTCTCAGACGATTAAAAGAGAGCAGTTTCGTTTAACAAGCTTTTTCTTGTCATATTTAAAAACAGAATCAGGTTTTTGTATCCGTCTCCAACAGGTTTTCTTCCAGTATAAGTGATAGATTATTCTAAAACCGTTCTATAATATCTGGGGTTTTCTTGGAAATTCAAATCGATCTTTGTGTTGTACCTTATCTAAACTTTTTACAAGTGGAAAATTGCACTAATGAGGGAAGATACTTTTCAGGTAAAAGATTAAAATAAAATATTATTGTTGAGCAACATTCATTGGAGTTTCTTCAATTCAGATAAATATTTATTCTGCATATATTTTGTGACAAATGTCTCCTTTATTTAGTCAAAATCTGAAAAAGAAATTCATACATACCTTTAGGAAAGGATTCTTTATTCTTGAATCATGAGAAACACCCTTCTGGGGGAAAAGAGCAAGTTACGTTGTACAGTGTAACCCGGATATAAGAGAAACCCGGATATATCGAGAGATTTTCTCTGGTCCCAAATTAGAGCTTGTGTTAATGTATATAAAATATAACAAACCCGGATATAAGAGAAACCCGGATATAAGAGACTTCTTCTCCGGTCCCGACAACTCTCTTATATCCGGGTTATACTGTACATACTTATCGAATTTCAAGTTTGACATCTGTACATAAGTACAAAGTATTGACCACTTTTCAGAGAGTCAGGGATGAGTTTAACATTATAATTAAAATATGAACAAGGCCCGTACATTTAAATTGATGAAAAAAACATAATCGGAATTTTGACAAACATCGCGCATTGCTAATCAGTAAACATCCCCACTCCCCCAAAAAAGACAGAAAATCACAAAAAAAGGCAAAAGTAATCACAAAAAAGATGTTCCCATTTTTCGAAGAATCCCGTAAACTGTTATTGTCGCAAGGATACCACATGTATTGCAGCAGCTGTAGTGTACCTTACGGAGCCCAGTCCTCTCTAGTGTGTTTTGAATTCTGAGTTTTCCTTCTCCTAGACTCATAGTCAATCAAGACCAGAGGGCCAGTCTGTTCTGGTATTTATCCATAGCTATGGGGTAGATGGAATCATACCTTTCCCAAGGGTGTTAGCACGTAAATGAATGTAATGAACTCGACCTCGGTTCTAACAATTACTTTACGCTGAGTCGCTATCCATTACTCTACCGTGCCACCATATATATATATATATATATATATATATATATATATATATATATATATATATATATATATATATATATATATCTCTTAGGATAATGGTTATATTTAAATAGTGAAAAAATTAGACGCCATCTACTGTTACCAGGATAATCATTGGGTAAGTGAAATCATCGAACACAACCCACCGAGTTCTCTCGCTGACACGCTAACCACTACACTATAAACACGACTCTTTAATACTTGCACTTATTTGAGTAGACATCCCGGTTACTCAAAATCATTTACCCACTAAATATAGCGTCAATGATTATAAGGAATTATACAGGATATGTATCTATCTATATATGTATGTATGTATGTATGTATGTATGAAACAATTGTTTTATGCACACTCACACACATATACACATACATATATATATATATATATATATATATATATATATATATATATATATATAGAGAGAGAGAGAGAGAGAGAGAGAGAGAGAGGCATCGAGGCGGTGTAATGGTTAGCAAGCTTGGCTCGCTAGAACAATTACGACTCACTGGGTGCCCCTAATTTCGGCCTTGTCCCACATCTAAGCTACGCTTGGAAAATCACTATATATATATATATATATATATATATATATGTGTGTGTGTGTGTGTGTATATACATTGCCGCGTGTATAATTTTCCCTTAGTAATGGCAACAATCAAAATATTGACATGTGATGCATTCATCTCCCCAGCAAGAAACTAAGCATTCCCTTTTTTTTGTTTGACCAAAGCCCACCGACAAAGAGAGGTGTATCCATTCACTGATGGTCGCTCCATGATTTGATGTCAAATATTTTTCTGGTTTAATATGAAATAAAGAAAATCCAATCAGTCAATGATCCACTATACTGCCCTTAGATGTACAATTAAAGTTGTACATTATCGAAAGTTTCGCAATTACACATCGAACTACAAAGCATATACATTTTTAGATGTAGATATAAGTGGTAAAAATCAAAATAGCTTTAGCCACTTCCGGCATCCAGAAATATCTGGAAAATGTAAGAGAGGCTGATAAAAAGAGTTAGGGGGTTTGCTTATTTGGTGAATAGAGACTTAGGACAGCATTTCAAATTCAGAATTTTAGAGGATTTATTTTTTCGCTTGGATATAAAAAAAGTATTTGACAACTCGTTTGGTTATAATAAAAGTAAGACTAACACCGGTTCCCGTACGGCTACCAAAGTTAAGCAACGTTGGACTAGTTCAGTACATAGATGAGAGACTGCTTGGGAATACCAGGTTCTGTAATCTCAGAGCCGAGTTCCAATTTAAGTCGTGTTGGTCATATCCAATTACGCGCAAATACTCTTGGGAAGGCTATAAATCCATTACCTTTCAACTACAGGTTAATTAGTAGGATTTATATTAGTAAATAATTATTATCTCTAAAATAATCCATAATCTGACTATATTAAATGGCTTTAAATAACCTGTAAGGAATTGATAAAGCCGAAAAAATGGTCGAATAAATCGAATTAATAAAAGATTTTTTAACTCCAAATTTTAGAAGTTTAAAACCCATTTTCATTTGTGTATCGACACAAAATATTTTACTTCTCATGAATTGCGCGTGGAATTGTATAAATAATAAATCGGTGGGAGACAATATTTGGTTTTATAATCGATATTTTGAGGCAGAATCGATTCGTGCACGTTTGGTGGCTATTGTTTGTCGACGGCCAAATTTGTATACAGATCTCAATAAACACGAACAAAACGCGCCTTGGTGCAGGTCGGCGCTATGAAAAACGGATAAAATTCAATCCGTACTCTTCTATTCTGAATACAAGTACTTTCTTGAATGGTCTTGTCGGTGGTAATTTTCAACATCTAAATAAAGAAACGCCAAATTCTGTCTGTCCGTCCATCTATCTGAAACCCCTTTAACTTGGCCCACACTTGCTCTGCATAGACATATTATACCTTTTTGGAATCAGGATGATCCCGGGAATAAAATGTTTCCCTTTATCAGGTGCCTGAACATCCATCATTGGGATTTCCGTTCGGATGAGGAGGGAACATTTAAAAATTTATATATATAATAATCCACACGTATAATGTATATAATAATCCACACGTATAATATATATAATAATCCACACGTATAATGTATATAATAATCCACATGTATAATGTATATAATAATCCACACGTATAATGTATATAATAATCCACACATAATATATATATAATAATCCACACGTATAATGTATATAATAATCCACACGTATAATGTATGTAATAATCCACATGTATAATGTGTGTAATAATCCACACGTATAATATATATAATAATCCACACGTATAATGTATATAATAATCAACACGTATAATATATATAATAATCCACACGTATAATATATATAATAATCCACACGTAAAATGTATATAATAATCCACACGTATAATGTATATAATAATCCACATGTATAATGTATATAATAATCCACACGTATAATGTATATAATAATCCACACATAATATATATAATAATTCACACGTATAATGTATATAATAATCCACACGCATAATATATATAATAATCCACACGTATAATGTATATAATAATCCAGACGTTTAATATATATAATAATCTACACGTATAATATATATAATAATCCACACGTACAATGTATATAATAATCCACATGTAGAATGTATATAATAATCCACACGTATAATGTATATAATAATCCACACATAATATATATAATAATTCACACGTATAATGTATATAATAATCCACACGCATAATATATATAATAATCCACACGTATAATGTATATAATAATCCAGACGTTTAATATATATAATAATCTACACGTATAATATATATAATAATCCACACGTACAATGTATATAATAATCCACATGTAGAATGTATATAATAATCCACACGTATAATATATATAATAATCCACACGTATAATGTGTATAATAATTAATATAATATAAAGGAGTGGATTAAAAAAACAAACAAACAAAAAACTTTACGTCGAGAATTTATTAAAACGTTTACTGTTGAGCTGGCTAGATGTAGCCGTAAATTCTGTTCTAACAGTTTCTTCTCTCGCACCGGCTCGATGCCTACCAACCAACTTTAATCTGCTAGAATTTAAATGCAACGTCAATGGCTATCTACTGTTGTCTTAATTTCTCTTTTCTCTTCATTCTCATTAGTAATGTTTTTATTCCTAATTCTTTCACACCCAGCAACGCCTTGTGTCTTAGTGACTTTACTTCCTTGCTTGAAATGAAACCAATTACAAAGAAAATTGAAGAAACTTAATCGTCTTCTAAAAGTATGCCTTATTTGAATAAACGAGTTAAATTTTGCATTTATAGTTTTGAAGATGTAAAAATAGTTTTACTGAATTATAAAAACCGTATATCACAAACGTCTCCTCAAATCTGTTTTCTTTCTTTTTCTTCTTTTCTTTCTAAGTATCTTGAATTACTCTCTATGACAACACTATATTATGCTTTTGCGTTTGAACTTAAAACTTAAATCAATTTAGATGTTTGTCAGATGAAAGGAATAAAATTCCTGAGACATATTTAACATACAATGATAATTTTACTGAATTTTACTCACCATACTTACTAAAGGAAACAGACGGTGATGAATAATTTTAGCGAATATAAACTACCATATATCGATTATAAACATACAAAAGATATTTCCCGTTTCCCTGGTTAATAACTAACAAAATCACATGATTGCTAGTCAACGTTCATCCAATGTAGCTCTACATTCATCATTAAACGAATAATGTGAGAAGCCAGTATTCATATATTTCCTCGCCTAATATATATTCTTTTTATTGTGATATTTTTTTAAATGTGATATTTTTCTTGTTATTCATTATGTAGTATCGTATACAAATGAGATAGATAAGCATAAATGAAGAACGACTGGTGAGCATAAGGTCATTGCTTAGCGAACTTTGCTAAACGTAACGCGCAAAACTGTGCTACGACTGCTACTACACAAAGAGACATACCAGACATAACAATGGCGTCACCAATAGGATCGTTAAATTCGCTGGACGACCCAGAACATATAGAAACCCGGATAAGAACTTTTGCTGCATTTGCAAGAGTGAAAAAATTAAGAGACACAAAGAACGACAGAGGAGAGACTGAAATCACCATTAAAGAGAAAACAAGAAAGACGAGAGAAAGAACAACACACTACGAGAATAATCAGGAATAGTAAAAGGAAAAAACAGGGTATACAACCTCTCTGATTCAGGAAGGTGTAGTATCATATGCAAATTAGGTAACATAAATATAGAACAACAGGTGAACATAGGAGGAATGCTTAGCAAACCTGTGTGCTAAACGTAACACAGAGAACTGTGCTACAACTGCTACTACACAGAGAGATATATCAAACATAACAAGAAGAAATTAAACTGTATCTAACCATGCTACCTAAAACTGGTTTAAGCATTTTAAAGATGGTAATGTGTCCATTGAAATAAAACTCAGAATTAGCCAACTATCAGATGTCAATTCTTCTTCTGTGTGTCATATCCCTTCAGGACATGAATGATCATAGCTCTCCACAACTTCCTATCATTCATAACTCTTAGCAGTGTTTGTCTTTTGACTATTCCTCCTGCTCTTTGTTCTGCCAACCATTTACACAAGCTCATTTGGTAGATTACTGCAGTTTTCCTCTGGCCTTCTTACCTCTAATATGTTCTGTGAGTGTTAAATTCTCCAAGTTTTCTTTTCTCTTATGCATCAAGAAATTTCAGCTGTCTCTTTCATAGGGGCTATGCTAGGCAAACCTGTGCGCTAAACTTAATGCGGAAAACTGTGTTATGACAGCTACTGCACAAAGAGATATACCAAACATAACAATGGCGTCGGCGATAGTATCCTTAAATTCGCTGGTCGACCCAGGACACATAGAAACATGGATAAGAACTTTTGCTGCATTTGCAAGAGTGAAAAAATTAAGAGACACAAAGACCGAAGGAGGAGAGACATAAATCACCATTAAAGAGAACAAGAAAGACAAGAGGAATGGCAGTACGGTACAAGAATAATCAGGAATAGTAAAAGAAAAAACGAGGGTATACGAACTCTCCGATTCAGGGAGGTGTAGTATCGTATGCAAATGAGATAGGCAAGCAAGAGAACAACTAGTGAACATAAAGTCATTGCTTAGTGAACCCGTTTGTGAAACATAACGTGCAGAACTGTGTTACGACTGCTACTACCTAGAGACATATACCAAACATAAGACATTATATTTATCATAGATTTGCCCAATGTCAAAGACCGGAACACTTAGTAAAGTTGGAATCCAGAACTAATCGTCTGACAGGTACGCGACGATGAAACGCCCAGATTTTTACTCATTACTGCTCACCGTCTAGAAATATCGCGAAAATTCTGCTTCCGTCTTTGACAGGCCATTTATAAAAGAAATATATATTTTTTAACTCCAAATGTGTTGTTTAGATTTAAAAATATTAACCATTATGTGAATCTTTAATTCCAAGTATCTCACTGTCAAACTTTATTTTGGGTTTTTTCAATTTTTCATTTTGGAAATAAATTGAATGTTTATATTTTTTACCTAAACTTTATAAAATTTTATTAATGTTCAGTTACATTCCAGTTTATTGTTTGATTTAACTGAGATCTTATCAGATGGATGCATTGTTTGTCTTCGAGAAAATGTAGTAATTCTGTAACCAATTTGTAAGTAATTTGATATCTTATTATAGAACCATCCTTTGTGTGTACCAGAAAACTCATTAAAAAGTTACATTGCTAAAGTTTTCATTTTGTTTATACAATGTTATTATTAATACTAATAAGAGGGCATTTAAGCTTTCTTATAATAATAGTTTAAATGTTTTTATGCCAATAAATAATATATATATATCTGTATTAATATCATGTGAATTCTAATTTGTAATTAGGTAGTTGGTGTCGATAGAATGTAATATCATATTTTATATTAATATTATTACTTGTATTTCAATGTTGTCCATTTTAATGAGGTCATTTTTTATTTGGTTTGTGAAATTATTGTGAATTAATGTTTATTGTACAGTTCAAATTTTCTGAGAGAGTACTGTGAGTGAAAATATTAAACGTACTCCATGATGTATATAATTTATGACGGCTATTTTGTATGTATAATTAATTTCATTGCAGATGGAAAGAGAATTGTTTATATGCAAAAAGAAATTGTATATTCATTTTAGAAAATTAGAACGTCTT